CTTGTCATAGTAGTATCGCAAAGCCCGGCTCAGCTTGTCATAATTCATGTTGGTCTTGTTCTTGCGCAGTCCCCACAGCCGGGCCACCTCCTCTGCATCCACCAGTTTGAACTCACCACCATCCCTTGAGGTCCAGGAGATGATGTGGCCATTGCCTTGCTCTCTCAGCAGCTGCAGCAGAAACTGCCACAGTGTCACAGATGGGTCCATCGCTGGGGGAGCGCTCACGCCATCCCAGGGGTACCTGGAAGGCAGACAGCTCAGAGCTGAGAGGCTGTGGGTAAATGAGGGGGCAGAAGACAGGAAAAGGATGATTTCGTTGTTATCTGGCCTCCACTTCTGTTCCAAACTGCATCACCATTCCTTTAAGTACTCTTACACAAACATCTGAGCTCCCATTTAGCATTAGGTGCTCCTTTTTATGCTATGAAGATTTTATGGATCTGAGAATGGTGTGAATGTAATTTGTATGGGGCACAAATGCAAATCTTGGCAGACTATGGTTGGCACATAATGCTGACAAGGGCTCCCAAAGATGTCCACATACTAATCCCCAGAACCTGTGTGTATGCTGTGGTACATAGCAAAAAGAAACTTTTAGCAGAAATTAAGATTATAGACTTTAAAAGAAGAGGGAGGCAGAAACACAACTCAGAGGTAGGGTGCAAAGAATAGGAGGGAGAAATTCCAAGTGTGAGAGGGTGTTATGGTTTATATCTAGGTGTTCCCCCCAAAGCCTCATGTAGTCACTGGGGTGGACCTTTAGAGTATGCAATTAATTTATGATCCACTGCTGGGATTATGGGTGTAGGTGCTGCTGGGATTATGGGTGTGTTATACCCACCCTGGGACAGGTAGCCTAAATGCAATATAAGAAAGGGAGAGAGGCTTGCCTCTGCTGCCACTGCCACTGCTCCTCACTTTTTGCTCTTACTGTCTTGTTTTTCACCATGAACTGCTGCCCTCTTCCATATACCACTCTGCCTTGAAGTCAGCTGAGTATGGACTGAAACCTCCACAAACTGTGAGCTAAATAAACTTTTCCTTCCTTAATTTGGGGTGTCAGATATTAAGTTCCAGCAATAAGGAGAAAAGTAACTGAGACAGAGGGACTTGATTTACCATCACTGACACTGAAAATGGAGAAAGGTGGCTCCAAGCCAAGGAATGTGGGCAGCCTCTTAAAGTTGAATGGCTCCCAGCCAACAGCCAGGAAACAGGGACCTTGGTCCTACAACTCAAGGAATGGAACTCTGTCAACAATGCAAATGAGCAGGAAATTCTTCTACCCTGGAACCTCCAGAAAGGACTAAGCCCTGCCAGGTCCCTGATTTTAGCCTAGTGAGACCAGTGTTAGATTTCTGACCTACAGAGCTTTCAGAGAAATAAGTGTGTTGCTTTAAGCAGCTAAGTCTGAGATGAATTTTTTACAGAAAAACTAGAAAATAAGTGCACCCCCCTCTCACTTGGTATCTATCATCAATATCTTCTACCACATCAATGGCAAGGTTTTCAGGAAGGCACCATTGGCCAGATCCTTGCAAATGGTTTTCACTGCGTAAGGTGCTCCCTTCCTTTGCTAAACAGTCTTCCTCATCTTTCAATTGTTAGCCTTAGGGTTCATTTTTTTTCTTTCCTTCATGAAGCCTTTCTGAAATTGATTACTTGTTCTCATCCACTCCTCTTACCTGTCACTTTGTATTGTTTTTTAAAGTGCTAGGGATAAATCCAGAGCTTTGTGATGTTCTACCTTGGATCTCTAATTCCAGCCCCTATTATCTGTGAGCATAGCAGTAACTAACATTTATTGATTGCTTAATAGCAGAACTAGTCTGCCAGAGTCTGAATCCTGGGTCTGCTACTTATTGGCTATATGACCCTGGGCATATTTCTTTTTTCTGTGTTTTATTTTTTTTTGGGGGGGGGGAGGCACTGGGGATTGAAATGAAGGCCTCTATACTGATGTAGATCCCCAGCCCTTTTCTGTTTTTTATTTTGGGAGAGGGTCTTGCCAAATCACTAAGCAGCCTCTGCAGGTCTCATACTTTCAGTCCTTTTGCCTCAGCCTTCTGGAGTATAGGTATAGGGATCATAGGCATACGCCATCACCTCTGGTTTCTTGGGCATAGTCTTTAGCTTCCTTGTAACTTAAATTCTCTCATGTGCAAAATAGGGATAATGACATGCCCATCTGTGGAATAATTATTATGTGGATTAAACATAATATGCCTGCGGTATGATAAGCTCTAAATTGGTTTCTGATTTGTTCGTAATTCCTTATCTACTACCCTAAAATCCATAAAGCTCTCAAAACAGAAAGCTTCTATATAATTCTTCTGGCAGCAAACTTGCATTTGAAATAAAACTAGGTTCTTTGCAGTCTTTATTCATCCTCACTTAGTGTGGATGTTCATACATTCTGCTGCAGAAATACAGAAATATGAACCTAGCTGATGACAGAGTTTGCTGAGAGTGTTATGTAACATCATATGCACACCATGTTACCTTTCTAGAATCTGAAAAATTCGCAGTTTCGAAACACATCTGGCCCCAGGGGTTTTGCATAAGAGCATAAAGTCCTAGGCTATTATTTTTTGTAGACAGTGACTCATTTATCCTTCATCCCGCCTCTGGAAAGGAGATATTTTTATTATCACTAATTTATAGATCAAGCAGCAAAGTATCTAAGTGACTTCCACAGGCCACACACCTGTAAGTGGCAGGGGCAGCATCTGGGCCTAGCAGTGAGGCTCCAGTGGTCTGAGCTTTTTCCATCGGGCTCTAACGCCCTCACGTGGATGGTTCCTCCTCAGCGTATCCCTCAGAAAATAGACTCTTCCCCATCATGCCACTTCTGCTTTTTCTTGGCAACAAATGGAATAAACACAAGCCTCTGACTCCCCAAGAGAATACAACTATCCACTTGCCTTGGATTGTTGGATTAAGAATAAACCTTCTAAATCAGGAGTTATCAAAGACCCTCCTGTTACTACTTATGGCTTTGCTTTTTGCGGGGAGAGGGAGTATTGGGAATTGAACTCAGGACTTTGTGCCTGCCAGGTAGGCACAGCTTTGCTCTTTTATTAAATTGCTCATTAATATGTAGTGAAATATACAGTATGATCCTCTTATGTCTGTGCTAACTTCAAGTTCATTGAGCAGCAGCAGTCTGAGGCCGTAGGAGTCGCTAAGCCATGGAGTGCTGGATTCAAGGCCGTTCCTCGGGGACCTCCCTGGATTTTATTTCTAAGGCTGGCTTCTCTCAGAGGCCCAGAGAATTCAGTGTGACTCCTGGTGGTGAAAACAGGCAATTTTTCCTAGTTCTTCTGAGCTACTGCAGAATCTGTTACATGAAACCTGATGGCTGATTTCCAACTTTGACACACACAGGCTGTTGTGTTTTGCTTATTTTACTTTTTTCACTGAACCCCTCGGGAAAGTGCTTGTAATCTGCCTTACTCAGATGGGTTTATTTCTCTTTACCTCATTCACTGAGCAAGCTTTTATTGAGTGCCCATTGTGGGTCAAGTGCAGGGATATAGCCATAGACACAACAGATAAGAATCACTGTTCTACTTCTGGTTCCAGGCACTTGGCAGCCGCAGTCTACAGTGCAGTTATGGCAAAACCCAAGAACCACATGACGCACAACCAGTCCCGAAAATGGCACAGAAATGGCATCTAGAAACCTCAGTCACAAAGAAATGAATCTCTGAAGGGGGTAGATCCCAAGTTCCTTAGGAACATGCGTTTTGCCAAGAAGCACAACAAGAAGGACTTCAAGAAGATGCAAGCATACAATGCCAAGACCATGAGTGTATGTGCTGAGGCTATCAAGGCCCTTGTCAAGCCCAAGGAGGTCAAGCCCAAGATCATCCCAAAGGGAATAAACCACAGGCTCGCTCGACTTGCCTATATTGACCACCCCAAGCTTAGGAAGCATATCCGTGCCCACATTGCCAAGGGTCGAAGGCCTTGCTGGCCAAAGGTGCAGTCTCCAGCCAAGGCCCAGGCTCCAGCTTCTGCTCCAGCCAAGGCCCCCAAAGGTACCCAGGCCCCTGTGAAGGCTCCACTGTAAAAGCCTCTTATCTGCTGATGTAAAAACAGGACTGGTGTGACCCCTGGGGTGCCATCTGGGGGGGGGCTGGTGTCCTTCTGTGCTCTTTGTACAAATAAACCTGAGGCAGGATAAAAAAGAATCCCTGTTCTAGCCAGGTATGGTGGGTGCTATTTACTGGTAATCCCAGCACTCTAGGAGACTGAGGCAGGTGTATGACAAGTTCGAGCCCATGGTGGTACAAGCCTGCAATCCCAGCACTCAAGAAGTAGGAAGATCATGAGTTTAAGGACAGCCTGGGCTACATAGTGAGATATTTGTCTCCAAACAAAAAGAATCATTGATTTAGAAGAGCAGCGGGGGCAGACAGACAAGAAGGCAAACAAGTCAGGAGTATGGGAGATGGTGATAAGCGTTAGGAGAGAAGAATCAAGCAGGGAAGAATCTGTTGCTTTTTCCAAGGGCAATGAGGAGAGGCTAGCCATTGAGAGAAGGTGAAAGAGTGAGGCTTAAGTATATCTGTAAGATACCAGGTTGAAGGTTGAGGCTAGGGTACCTAGCAGCTAGTTTGTGGGGGCTAGGGAGGAGCTAGAGGCAGATGAGAACTGAGAGGTGCTAGGGTTTCAGGTGGGTGAGGCTTCCACTGGCACTGTCAGGACTTGGACCATAAGTGAGACAGGAGCCACAAGATGGTTATGAATACAGGCCTGTGACTTGGATTTTGACAGTGTCTCCTTGACTGCTGTGGGAGCAGCCCATTGGGCTGAAGTGCCTACTGCAGTTGTCCAAGTTGAGGGACTGGTGGTAGCGATGAAAATGCTGAGAAATGGTTGGGTTCCGGATAAAAATCTGGGGATAGAACACAGAGCTGTGCAGATAGTGTGGTAGTGAGAGTCAGAGGAGTCCAGGGTGATCTAGGTTAGTGACCTGATCAGTTGGAAAGACAGTGGCAGTGTCAACTGATAAGGTCACACAAAGAGCAAAGAGGCTTTGAAGGGATAAAAGGAGGCGTTTTAGAGAAGGTTAGCTTCAGAAGCTCATTAGATACCAATGGATATGCTATGAAGAATATTAATATGAAACAGCCATACAGCCAATGCTATGTATTATACAGTTTTTAAATCAGTTTTTAGTCTTGTTTGTTTGGTTGATTTGAAGCATTTTCTTTTTCTCTTTCTTTCTTTCTTTCTTGCTTTCTTTCTTTCTTTCTTTTTTTT